CTCCAGGCAAGACTCTATGAACCTGATATGGTCCTTCCTAATTATGTGACCATTTGCCAAATTTATGGCTCTTAATGCCTATTAGAAATATTATCTTCCATACCAAGTCACCTTCATCAAAGCTAATGTGCTTGACTTTTTTTTTTTAAACTTCTGGCTACCTTTTTCTTTTGGAAAAGGATATTGTTTAATACCAAGATTCTAGCCTCATCCACATGTTCTATTTCCAAGAACATGCTTTGATGATATTACTCAGAAGTTAACTGGTCTTGGCCTTTCACCCTTAAGGACTTAATGTTAACTTCTACAAGCAAAACTGCATCATGCCCATACAATAAAGCATAAGGAGTGACTTCTATACTTGACCTTGGAGAAGTCTTATAAGCCTATAATACATCTAATAACAAGTTATGTCAATCCCTAGGATTATCTTCCACAACGTTTTGTATTCCTTTTTTCAAGGACTTGTTGGATGATTCTGTCTGATCATTTGCTTGTGCATAATAAGGGGTGGAATTAATAAGGCTAATTCCAAATTTTGCTGTGAAAGATTTTACTATCTTTCCATCAAATGCAGTCCCATTATCTATAGTTATGGTTTGTGAGATGCCAAATTTGTGAATCAAATCTTTAATAAATCCAATAATTTTAATTTGATCCACAACCTTATATGGTTTAGCTTCGACCCACTTAGTGAAGTAATCTGTGGCCACTGGGATGAAACAATGGTGCTTCAAGGAGGGTGGATGTATTTTCCTTATCATATCCATAGCCCAACCTCTAAATGGCCAAGGCTTCACAACTGCATGCAAATAAGTTATTGGTACATGTCTTATCACGCCATGTTTTTGGCATGCCTAACAACCTCTAGGATATTCTATACGGTCTTTAAGGATGGTTACCAATAATAGGAATACCTTCAAAGCAACCATCTTATCTTCACACCAGGCTGATGGGCACCACAAATGCCTTCATGTACTTCAGACATAGCCATCAATGCCTCTTTTGGCTCTAGACATTCCAATAATACATGTACTTAATTCTTTATGAAATGAAAAACCTTTTATTATCTATCTGAGTGTCTCATGCTTTCTCATTATTTTATTTAGCACTCTCAACACTCCTTATGTCTCCCACACAGTTGGATAATAAGGCTTCAGGTACCTGCCATTAATTTTCTTGGGATGCACATAACCATTCAGGTTCCTTAGATGGTAGGCTCCTCCAGGCAAGACTCTACGAACCTGATATGGTCCTTTCCAATTATGTGACCATTTGCCAAATTTATGGCTCTTAATGCCTATTGGAAGTATTATCTTCCATACCAAGTCACCTTTATCAAAGCTAATGTGCTTGACTTTTTTGTTATAACTTCTGGCTACCTTTTTCTTTTGGAAAAAGGATATTGTTTAATACCAAGATTCTAGCCTCATTCACATGTTTTATTTCCAAGAACATACTTTGATGATATTACTCAGAAGTTAACTGGTCTTGGCCTTTCACCCTTAAGGACTTAATGTTAACTTCTATAAGCAAAACTGCATCATGCCCATACAGTAAAGCATATGGAGTGACTTCTATACTTGACCTTGGAGAAGTCCTATAAGCCCATAATACATCTAACAACAAGTTATGTCAATCCCTAGGATTGTCTTCCACAACTTTTTGTATTCCTTTTTTCAAGGACTTGTTGGATGATTTCGTCTGATCATTTGCTTGTGCATAATAAGGGGTGGAATTAATAAGGCTAATTCCAAATTTTGCTGTGAAAGATTTTACTATCTTTCCATCAAATGCAGTCCCATTATCTATAGTTATGGTTTGTAGGATGCCAAATCTGTGAATCAGATCTTTAATAAATCCAATAATTTTAGTTTGATCCATAGCCTTATATGGTTTAGCTTCGACCCACTTAGTGAAGTAATCTGTGGCCACTAGGATGAAACAATGGTGCTTCGAGGAGGGTGGATGTATTTTCCCTATCATATCCATAGTCCAACCTCTAAATAGCCAAGGCTTCATAACTGCATGCAAATCAGTTATTGGCACATGTCTTATCATGCCATGTTTTTGGCATGCCTGACAACCTCTAGCATATTCTATACAGTCTTCAAGGATGGTTAGCCAATAATAGGAATGCCTTCGAAGCAACCATCTTATCTTCGCACCAGGCTGATGGGCACCACAAATGCCTTCATGTACTTCAGACATAGCCATCAATGCCTCCTTTGGCTCTAGACATTCCAATAATAACCTATATGCTCCCTTTTTGTACAGAGCATTACCATACATTGTATACTGCATAGACTGCAATTTAATCTTTCTGTTGGCCTTCGAAGATTGGCCAGTCAAGTACTGCACGATTGGATATCTCCAATCTTGATCTTGTAAGTGATTATGATTGACTTCCAACATAATGCCCTTTTTAACTAAATGTGGTATTAATTTTTGATACGTTGCTTGACTTATGTTCAATTGAGTGTCATCCATTCATTTGAAATTAGAAACCTTCTGAGTTACATCATTGGCTTTGCTATTCATGAACCTTGGGACATAAGTCACATTTGCTATCTGAAATTGAGAAAGCAAATGCAATGCAACAACATAATATGGCAACATGCTTGCACTCTGACATTTGAAAATTCCTTTTACTTGGTTGACTACCAATTAAGAATCTCCAAATATGTCAACTGCATAAGTTTGTAATCTAATAAGTATTTCAAGTCCCATTATTAAAGCTCTATATTCAGCTTGGTTATAGGAACAAGTGAATTCATTAACTTTGAAACCATGTGTGGTTTTTACCCCCTATGGTGACTTAATTACAACACCAATTCCAATCAAACCATTACCCTTTGATCCATCGAACCACATTTGCTAGGGCTCAACATTGACCATGCCAAGATCCATTGTCTTTTAGCTTTCTGTTTGACACAGATGATCTGTCAAAAAGTTAGCCAAGACTTGCCCTTTTACTACCTTTTAGGGGACATATTCTAGATGAAACTCTGAAAGAGCCAACATCTATTTGCCGATTCTTCCTCTTAGCATAGGTCTAGCTAACAGGTATTTAACCAAGTCTGTGGTTGCAATTACTAAGACGACATTAGGAAAAAGATAATATTTTAATTTCATTATTGCAAAGTACATTGCGAGGCACAACTTTTCTATAGCTGAGTATTTATGTTCACAAGAATTTAAAAACCTACTAAGGTAATAAACTGCTTTCTCCTTGCCTTTTTCATTGTCCTGGGCTAGAAAAACTCCCAATGAATCTTCTGCTGCCGTAATGTATAACTTCAAGGGTTTATCTCTCTTTGGTGGCATCAACACTGGAGGTTTGGCCAAGTAGGCTTTAAGTCCTTTGAAAGCATCTTGATGCTTAGTTGTCCACAAAAATTCGTCTTCATTTCTCAGCTTTAACAAAGAAGAAAATACTTTAGTTTTACTTGCAGTGTTAGAAATAAATCTTCAAAGGAAATTAACCTGACAAATGAACTTTTGTAATTCTTTCTTACTTGATAGAGGTTTGGCCTCAATGATGGCTTTGGCTTTATTCCGATCAATCTGTATTCCTTTCTTGTGCATTACATACCCCAATAAGTTTTCAGTTGATACACCAAAAGCACATTTGAGAGGATTAAGCTTCAACTTGAACCTTCTCATTCTTTTGAAAGTTGCTGTCAAGTGAGCTAGGTGCTCCTCCATAGACTGTGACTTCACAACAATATCATCAATGTGACACTCTAGGTATCCTCTAATGAGATCATGGAAGATAATATTCATTGCCCTCTGATATGTTGCCCCAACATTCTTTAAACTAAATGGCATTTTAACCCATTCAAAGGTGCCAATAATCCCAGGACACCTAAATGATGTCTTATGGACATTTTCATTTGCAATGTAGATCTAGTTGTAACCAGAATGTCTATCCATCATAGACAAAATCTTGTGTCTTGCTGAACTGTCCACCAGTAAATCTACTATGGGCATGTGGTATTCATCTTTTGGGGTTGCTAAATTCAGATTTCTAAAATCGATGTATACCCTCATTTTACCATTCTTTTTTACCACAGGCACAATGTTGGACAACCATTCAACATATCCGGCTGTTCTGATGAAGCCTACATTAAGGAGACTAAGAATCTCCTATTTCACTTTCTGAACTACTTCAGGACTCATCCGTCTTGGTTTCTGCTTGTATGGTTTGAAATTAGGCTTCATAGGGAGCCTATGTTCCACTAATGACCTGTCCAATCTAGGCAGTTCATTGTACGGCCAAACAAAACAATCCTTATATTGTTTTAAGATAACCAATAACTGGTTCTTGTCACAAGGACTTAACCAAGTACTGATGTAAGTGGGCTGCTGTACTGAATCTTCACCCAGGTTGACTTCTTCTAAAGGATCTTGTACTTGAGCACTCACTGATGCCCTCTCTTTATATTCTTCTACCCTCAAAGCAACCCTTCTATCTTGTTCTGCTCCCACATTTTCTGGTTTAACATCTTTACTTTTTTCTTCATAGACAAAAAGCATGTTCTTGTATTTCCTGGACTTTATTTTCAATGTCCAATGAATAGTATTTACCAAAAGGCAAAGGTCTAGTGACTTGGTGCATCTGACTATAGCCAACTATTATGGCGTCTTGTTTTTTCTCCTGTACTTTCTGGACTATTGCCTTTATGTCCAATGTTGAAGATTTGATTAAAGCCAATGGGTTGGCTTGTTGGTCTTGATCTTTCTGCCTATAACCAGGCATCATCATCATCTTTGTTAACGAACTCTTCATCAACATTCTCCTGCACTAAGTGCTTCAGGTGTGTTACTTCCTTATTAGCCGTCACTTCGGCTGCTCCATCAGGCTTCCTCAGCACACTGAGCGGTACAACCCCTTCAGTGTATAGCTTGGCCTCAGGAAAATCAACACAAGCAATAAAAAGCTGTGGATCCGTATCGATTTCCTCTGTTTTTCCATTGCACAGAGCTATCATCATCTTCTAATGTAAAGAGGAAGGCACACACTTGTTGGTGTGGATCCAGTCCCTGCCAAGCAAAACATTTATCTTGACATTACTGTCTATAACAAAGAGTGTTGTCATGCAATCTTTGGTTCCCACACTTAGGTTGATGGGTAAAATACCCTGAGCCATTTGCTTGTCCCCAGCAAAACCAGCAATGGTTGTCCTGGTGGGGATCAACCTAGGATTTCTCTTTCTAAGCTTCTTCAAAGAGGACTTCGGAAGTAGGTTTACTGTTGCGCCATTGTCCACTAACACCCTGTTCATCTCTATTCCATCGAAGTAAGCTCTGATATACAAGGGCTTAACGTACTGGGTCATATATATTGTGGGGTAGTTGAAGGGATATGAGAGGTTAATGGTCACCTCATCACCTTCTTCGTCAGTTTCCATTGGCTTGGCCACTTCTGACTCATTTTGAATCATACTGACCTACGAATCTTCACTAGAAACTGGAATGGGGTCATTTTCCTGACCTTCTTGGTCTCCTTTTCAGCTTGGAATTCCACATATACCATGTTCACTGGTACTGAAGGGAATGAGCCAAACTGTACTACTGGCTGCAGTTGCTCTTCTCCTATTTGGGCTTGTTCTGAAGCTTGGAAGGCATCATTCATGCTACACTCTGGTACCTCAATACTGGTGGTTTCATTCAAATCAACTCGTTTGTGATCTGCTCCTATTGACTTTTTGACCAAAAAGGTTTGTTTAGCCATGAAAGCTTCAAACATCTCATCTTCAGCCAATTCTTTCCTTTAGCCTAGTTCAATTTCTCTTTCTGTCTCACTGTTGCTTTCCATCGAGGCCTTTTTAAGACCTGCTAAGCTGGACCTTTCCTTGGCTTTCAGTTCAGTGTGAACCTCAGCCAACTGCTCTCTGCTGACGCTTTTTTTGATCTGAGGAGCTAGCTTTGGACTTTCTTTTTTCTCTATCTAGCCTTTTGATTGGGCCAATGAAGAACTCTATCAATTTTCTTTCAGATCCCTTTGGTATTGAGTGTACCTTCGCTGGATCTTCCTCCTTTGAGACCTAGAAATTATTGGAACCATATCTGGTTCTTTTGTCTTTGGGTGTTTGAGTAATACCCAATTATTTGGAGCCACCAAGGGAGGTTTAATCATTCTACCCTTGTCTCCAAAAACATTTCTCTGGGCAGGTATTTCCTTAGGCTTGTTCTGCATGACAAACTAGTCTAGAACCCCAGATACCCATGAACTCATTAGCTCAGTTGCTGAACTTGCTTTCCTAATCTTTGAAGCCACCTTCAAAGCTAACTGTTGAGGCCAATCACTGGCTCTGGCACTCTGTCTCGAGCCTAATTTAGGCCTTCTTTCAGGGTAATTGCCTTGCATCTTGTTCGAAGTTGATTTTTGAGGCCAATCACTGGCTCTGCTTTCCTGACTTGAGCCTAACTCATGCCTTCTCTCAGGATATTGCCTTCCATCTTGTAGTAATTGGGTGGTCTGAACTCATGTAGAGGTCTCTTATGTTTAGATTGCAATCTCGTAGCTGATGGTCCAGCCAAAAATGGCTGCTGTCTAGGACCAGTTGGGTATGGCCTTCTGTTGTAGATGTTGGTTAGCTTAGAGTGTCTCTGTACATCCTTGTAATGCTACTTTCTATCAATTGAGAGCCTTTTCGGCCATTTGTAACTTAACTTGTACTTGGGACACATCATTTGCATAATAGTTGCCTCAAGAGAGTCATCATCCAGTGCTTCCTCACTAGAGTCATCCTTTTGGTTTGCAAAGCTCTGTCCATTTGTTGGTGCATTTCTAGTATATTTCTTAAAAGCCGTTTGGTTGGCAACATGCATATGCACATTAACCTCCTTCAATTTCTTCAAGGATAGGTTTTGGAAATCTGGCACACCAACATTGGCTACAGCCTTTCCAATCTCTGGAAACGGATTGGTGTCAATTCCCATAACTTTCTCTGCCTTGGCTAGAAACTTTAGCCTCCATTTTTGAATCTGTTCTTGGATCCTGTCCCCAAAAACAATACAACTTTTAGTTGAATGAGGCTAAGAATTGTGCCATTTACAGTACATTTTTCCTTTAAGTTCTTCTGGGGTAGGGATCTTAACTCCCTTTGGTAACTTTAGAAAATTTACTGCAAGCAAATGATCAAAAATATCATCTGCTTTTGTTAAATCAAAAGAATATTTCCTATGAAAGTCTTTCTTTTTAAACTGCTAGTCTATTGTGCTGTCTTTCTGAATTAATGCCTCATAGGTCATAAGTTCTTTTCCTACAATTTCTGCCACATAGATTTCATAATTAGGGTTCTGTCACTACCCAAACCCGCCCCTGTAGGTTCAGCACCGTAACCGGCCAGTAATCCGTGGATTACCAAAGGTCTCTGAAGATTTTAGCAAATAATAAGGGGCTGCGGAAGCAATAATACAAAATAGACAAGGTCCAATGAGCTGTGATAACGTACATGGGACAGAACATTTCAAAACTTATATATATACATAAGCATGCTGGTCAAAGGACACCAATATTTACAAAGTATTTACGTCCCAAGACCTGTCTTTACAAAACACATACAGAGACTAGCATGAATACAAAAACAGCCATAGCACTAAACTTCGATCGGAACCTCCTCAGGAGGCACAAAGGTTGGCTGACAAAACAGTACGGAAGGCCGTCAACTCTGGCCCTGGTCATGTGCCGGCTCACCTACATACATAAGATAAACTGTGAGCAAAAGCCCAGTGAATAATAACAGAGTAAAGGGGTTTTATGAATGATGTCCAACATAAGTTAGAATCCAGCATTTAAATCAGAGCATAATCAAACTTCAAACAGAAACAGATTCATATATATTTTCATATTCAGATTTTGCATAAGATTATACGTGGTACACCCATTAGCTATCAGATCAGATTGGTCCAGAGATCCACATACATAGTTGGTACCAACGACCACAAAGGTCCATATCTTGCGCGCAAGTAGCCATGGTATTGTTACCCCCAGGCAAGGGCCACGTGCAAATTAGCCACGGTATTGTTACCCCCGGGTGAGGGCCACATGCAGATTGGCCACGGTATTATTACCCCCGGGCGAGGGCCACATGAACTAAGGGTGCCACAATTACTTTTCAGAAAATTGGACATTCATTCATAATTCGTAAGATAGCATTTCAGAAAACAGATCATACAATACCAGTCAGAAAATACTTAAGTTGAACATAACTTTATAGAGTTATTACTCACAGTGGGCTTGGAGACAGACAGACAGAGCAGATCGATCAGACAGGACGTAGCACGTGACATACACGACACATAACAGTCGCACACATGAAACACACGTTCTAATTGTACAAAACTTATTTCGTTGGCTCTTAGTGTGTTTCTAATCTCTTATCCTCATTATGGGGTCTCCAACATGGCATAGGAATGCCTAGGATGGAATGAGGATGCAAAAATACATTAGATAACATTTCTCAAAATTTGCTGAAAATAAGGTCTACGCTCGAGCGTGGATTTCCTCGTTCGAGCGGACATGCAGATAAGGAAGCTTTGCTTGAGCGTGGGCTTCCTCGCTCGAGTGGACTGTAAACCATGACAAAAATGCTGGATGTGCGATTTTCAAGCTCGACGGACGCTCGACCTCCGCTCGAGCGTGAGACTCAGACCCTCGCTCGAGCGGGCTGCAAAGCACACAAACTTCTGGGTATACGCATTTCACGCTTGAGCGTGACTCTCACCGCTCGAGCAGAAGTGCATGTACTCAGGCTTCACGCTCGAGCGTGAAAGTCCCCGCTCGAGCGTGAGTCAAAATTCTGGAAAATCTAGATTGACCTCCAAGCATGAAACTCGACCTCTAACCAACCAAAAGTCATTTTTCTGGGCCAAATCTTTGGAAAACACTTAGTAACCCATGAAACAACATGTTTAAAGCTTCAATTCAAGAAATCATGGCCCAAGAGTAACCCAATTTGTGCAAAATCAACATGAACTCCATGAATATGCTATGAATCCAACATGCAAGGACCCCCCTTGAATTCAAACCTTCCAAAACATAACCAAACTTAATAATTTGATGGAAAACAAGTTGAATGACCACAATGTGAGTGAAATTAACACATGCATGGAAGAAACTCTTGAAATTAAGTTCAAAATGTGAAGAAATGCACATGCATGCATGATTTACTACTCAATTCAACATTTAAACCAATTCTTGACTTAAATCTTCAATTTTACCATGGATCATGCAAGGTATAACTTAAATGCACAAACAAGAAGGTGATTTTCCTACCTTGGGTCTAGAATTCAAAGTCTACAAGCTCAATCTTCCAAAATCCTTCACTTCTTTCTAATTCTCTAGGTTAATCTCTTGTTGATACCACTTCCTTACCTCACTCTCTCTCTCCTACGTTTTTGGTCTGAAAAATGACTGAGGAAATAATGTAAAGAATGTGCTAATTGAGTCCCTAACAAGTGTATGGGAATGGCCACTCAATGGCAAGTTAGTAATTAAAGCAACTAATATAACTCAACATTATTTAATTGAGTTTAATCGTACCAAATCAAAATTTAATTAAACCTACCATAAAATCACATAAAATCTAGCTAACATAAAACATTAATCAATTTCGAAATCGGGCGCCGATAAGGCTTTCAATTCGCAGTTTAAAGTCAAAGACATTAACATATCATTTTATGGCAAATAAATAGAAACACGTAAATGATGCAATACACATGCAAATAAATCCCAAATCCATCCTAATCTTCTACAAGGCATAATTAAGTGCGAATTAACATTAATTAGAGATTGGGGTCATTACAGGTTCCTATAATAGGTCTTATATAATGCATTATTTCGTTACTTCGATCATGTTCTTTGTCAAGTAAAGATTCATATCTAGACACCTTATAGGTTAATTCCATTAAGCCTCGAAACTCAGTTGAATCGAACTTCTTTTGAAGCCTAAACTCCAAACCATTTTGAGCCAATCTCATAAATTCAGGCTCTAGCAGAATGACCCTACACTTATTTCGTGCTCTTTTGAATCTGGCAATGAATTGAGCAGCTTTCTCATTAGGCCTTTGGCTCAGCCTTGCCAAATCTGCCATGGAAACCTCAGGCTCTGTTTGGAAGAATTGTGCATGAAATGTCTCTTCCATTTGCTGCCAAGTTTGGATAGAGCCAGGTGTAAGGTTAATATACCATGCAAAGGCTGCCCCAGTTAAAGAATTTAGACAGAGTTTCAATTTCATATAATCATTATTGGTGAATTCACCACATTGGCCTACAAACTTGGAAATGTGTTCTACTATTAACTGGTTTCTATTTCCATAAAAGAGAACAAAATCTGGTGTTCTAAACCCCCTTGGGTATTCATGTACCCTATCCATCCATTCTAGGCATGGCTTTCTATATACAGGAGTTTGGACCCCCCGAGCCATGGGTCCACAC